GAGAGGTCCAACCTGGCTACTGGAGGAAACCTCTACAGAGCATCTCTTCTGTGATTGATACACAGATCATGGCAGGAGGCTTATTTTCTTATGTACTCATCTATGTCCATTGTCCAGATTTAATTTCCACTGAATACAAGAAGGACTTTTGTTGACTCTGCCCCCAATCATTTTTTAAAGGATATGAAAACTTTTTATGATATATTACCAACTTCTCTTTTCCTTCTCCTATTCTGAATGTTTGCATTCCTCTGGCTTCCATCCTTGAGCTTCCGCTCCATGGACACTTATTCCTTGTGAATTCTTGTTGGTGCCTGTTGTATTCCAGTAATTTTCAACTCATTTATACCATTATTCTACTCTTCTGAGTCTTGAGCGCTGACACAATGAAATAATTAGAACTCTGTAGTTAGAAGGTCTCTGGTTTTGACTTGTAAGTAAATCTTTAATTTTCTGTATGGCACCATTTTCCATGAAGGCATATTGATAACAAGGCATGCTTGATTGATTACTAAAAGGATGAAGTATGGTGTGATCTATATAAAACTTCTAGGACTATCAGACCTGTTAGACAATAAATGATGATACTGAAAAGATGGTGATCATGATGTTAACAATGGTAGTGATGATACTGGTGACAATTATCTACATAACATTTCTAATTGTATGTTTATAGGCAAATTCTCCAACTTTCAGCAGCTGATCTGACCAGGAATATCACCCAGAAAGACAAGTATATACCTGAAAATATTTTTGCTTTTCCCCACCAATATACCCTTTTATGACTGATTGTGAAGAATAGACTGAGTGCAGAATATAAGTAGGCAGGAAATCCAAGCAAAGGCACAGAGAAAAAGAAGGTGGAGTCAGGGAGACACCAGCCGCTGACAGAGCAGCAAGATGTAAAGTAGCACCATGGTCACATGGCAATACATAGATTAATAGAAATGAGTTAACTTAAGATGTAAAAGTTACTTAGTAATAAGCCTGAGCCATTAATATTGGCAGTTTGAAATTACTATTAAGCCTCAGAGTGCTTTTTTAGGAACTTGAGAGTAGGAGACAACTCTCCAGTTACATTTTTCTCAAATTTTTTTTTAAGGAAGACTTTTCTTTTTAAAAGATAGTGCATTCTAAAATGTTCTAGAAATATATTTTTAGTTGGCTAGAGCTCTGTTCTTTTTAATTGATTTTTGTTAAGCTCTACATTTTTCTCTGTTCACCTCCCTGCCTCTCCCCTCCCCTTCAGCCCTCCCCCAAGGTCCCCATGCTCACAATTTACTCAGGAGAACTAGAAATATTTTAAAAATATTTGTTGGTAGCTAGATGCCACTAATATTTTCTTGAAAGATGTAAAATTCCTTTTCTCTCTGACAAATGGAAAATTGCTGTTGTGTATGTATCCTAACACTAACAAGGTAACCAAAAAGAAGGATAACGAAGAAAAAAACAAATTCATAAATTTATAGTGTTTGCTCTATGAACCTGTTTGATATAAAGATAAATATATAATGAGAATATAAACATATCACTGAAATATATGAAAATATACATGCAAAAATTTTTTGTTTGCTGTGTATTTAAAACTTGATGTATTAATGGAGTTTTTAAGTATTGAAAAAAAGTGAAAAGTTAAGGAATTATTTATTGAAATGGTTCATGAGAATAGCCTTCCTAGAGAATATTATTGCTCAGAACTAAAAAAGCAAAGGAAAATTAGAGGGTGTTCATAGGATTGAATGTTGTTGTTAGCGTAAGTGTTTGGTAGGTCTAACAAATGTGGTATAACAAATACAAAAGTTAGCAGTATAGTTAGAAATTATATGGAGATGGATAATAGCCATCAGTAAATATCAAAAACGAAATTCAATTGATAAACTGGGGGAAAAAGCTTAGGCAAGGTTTCAAAAGTATGCAGACATACACCATCGTCTGTGGATTTCCTGGGATTGGTGTGCACAGAAACGGTTGATTAGCAGACAAAAGCTGGAAAACTTGGAGTTGGAGACAGAAAAAGATAGATCTCCCCCCCTCACACACACACAAACACACACATACACACCCATACACAAAAACACACACAAAAACTCACACACATATAAAACAGACACAAACACACACACATATAGTTCATTAAGCTTTATGTGGCCTCCTAAGAGGGTATAATTTGACATGATATTCTTCGCCAGTTTCAAACGTGATCAGAGAACCAATTTGAAGGAATGTGTGAATCTGTAGTGGTCTTCATTGGAACCTATCTACTTCGTGCCCATAATAAAACAGCATTTGTTCTACTTATTACAATGGCATAATAATTTTCATCTACAAAAACAGCACTACAAATTTAAACTGCAGTTGAATACTTTTAAATTGTTTGCCTTGATTAATATTTCAGATTTGCCCCCACTATAAACTAGCAATTAGGATGACTGCAGAGAAGCCGAAAGGTGATTAATATTTTATATTTTCCTTGCATGCCCAGATACTTATGGATTCCTTAATCATATTTTCCTTGAATCCTGCTAGTAGATTATTTTATTTTATGGTGTTAAATCACCAACTAGCAAACATTATTTCCTCTAGAAAATATTCCTTTAACTCAGATCTTCTTTGCCATCATTCCTTCCACATCATTAGCTCCAGCCCTATCATCAGTTTTTTTTCTTTTTATACCTTAAGTTTAAAATTAGCATTATAAGTCACATGTTTCTTATATCATTTTAATGCATACTTTGTTTCGGGTGTTCCTCCCTGCCACTGCCCCTCCCCCTGCCACTCTCCCTGCCCTTTCCCCTCCTTGGATCCTCCATCCCACCCAGTGCCTCTATATATTTTCATGTCACTTGTACTTTTTACTTTCTACAGTCTACTTTTCTGTGTCTCATCTCCCTCAAGGTGTCTTCCTGTGTTTCTGGACTATATCCATATTGCCCATTAATATACATATGTAAAAATTTGAACCTAGGCAGCACACTGGTGAGAGCATGTGGGAGCTGTTTTTCGGGGTCTGGGCTACCTCACTTAATACTTTTCACATCACCCGTTTTTTTGACAAGCTTCATTTTTCTTTACGGCTGAACACTTCCATAGTACGTATGGACCATCTTTTCATTGTTTAGCCTCCTGATGATGGACTTCGAGGAACTTCCTTTCTCTTTTGAAGAGTAGCAATACACATGGATATGCAAATATCTCTGCGGTAGGATGTAGAGTCTTTTGGGCATATGCTCAAAAGTGGTAATCATATGGTAATTCTATTTTTAATTTTCTAAGAAATATCAAGACTCATTTCCATTGTAGCTGTGCTGACTTACACTCCTCCAGCAGTAAAAGTATCTTTACCCCAGTAAGTGCTGTTGTTTCTTTTCATTCTTTTGTTGCTGTTGTTGTTGTTACTGTTATTCTATCTCTTTTTTTTTCAATAAGTGATGGTTATTCTGACTGGGCTGAGTTATAATTTCCAGGTAGATTTAATCTGTATTTCCTTGATCAGTAAGGGTGTTGAACACCTTAAAAATACTTATAGGCCATTTGTGTCCTTTTCTGAGAACTGTCTGTCCAGTTCATCGGCTCAATATTGGCAATCTTGAATCTCACTTAGTTTACTGCAACGGACACTGTAATGACACCCCCAATTTCTTCCCATCTGATGTACCATGTATCTGATAAATGGGCTTGAAATCTCAAAACAGGCTATGTAACTTCCATAATTAAAACCTCCGTGCCTTGCTGACATCATGGGGAAAATTAAGGAACCAATTCTTTGGTTCTCCTGGCCTGTTCTACGCATGCCGAATAATAATTGGAGAACCACATTTTGGCAGGAACACTGGAATATCCATTCGATGTGAGAGCCCTTCAGCCTTTAGTCAACTACTAAAGACACATCTTCACTGTGTCTACTATACCTAATCACAGTCAGCTGACAGGGATATCCCACCAGAAACCAATGGCTTGTGTATATTTAATAAAAAATGATTGTATTTCAGCTTTGTCTTCTTTAATTCAATTTCTTTTTATTCATTACAGGTAGGGTTTTAATCATAGTGGATAAGATCCAAACTATTCATTAACTACATTAAACTTTCACGTCAAATGAGCAGACAAAAGAGTAGTGCCTAAGGCAATAAGCAGGCTGCCAGACTGACTGGGGGCCGGTATGTGACATTGCTTTTCCATAGACGGTGTGTCTTCAGTAGCTTCTCTTAAATGTTTTCATAACTTTGTATAAGTTACAACCATTTAATGCAGTTTCTGGATCAATATTGTTAAACCTGCTATCCAGCTTAGACAGATCACTTCTTTAAAATTTCTCATCTTGAACTTGCTTTTCATATACTCCAGTTGCTCATGGAATCATGTCTTAAGCTTAACAAAAGAGGTAGATTTTTTTATATGAAGGAATCTATAATATTTTTCTTCATTTTCTATCTATTTAATAAGATGAGTCATCATTACGTTTGAACTCATATGAACATCATGACCCCATAAAGGATGTGTTAATGCAGGTGAGTTAAGGATCTCTGTGCCATTGTGACCATAGAAACAACATGAAACTGTTCTTTCTTGTTAGATTTTTTTTTCTGCCTACAGTATTATAATATGATCACAAAATATTTTCCAATCTGTCACTAATGATTTGTCAATACACTGTTGTAGTTTTGTCCTACAGAATACTCCGTGTCAACAGAACTAACAACCCACTTGCTTGTGTAACCTTACAAAAATAAAAGACAAGCGCATAGTCCAAGTAAAACCTTTGTGAAGCTAAGAACACAAGTTTGTCAGAATAATGGTGCACACACTTCCTTGACCCCACTGTTGCGAAAGTTCTTGGATAATTTGGTTGGCTTTTACTTTATGAATAAAGAAATTATTTTGATAAGATCTCTACGTCTCGAGGAACTGCCAGATGGTGAGGGTCTGAGTAGTTATATATACTTCACGTTTGTTTGACCCGGGTGGACAAAAACAAAGAATATTGAGAAAATATTTTTAGTTTATAAGTAAAGGTTAAATGATTAGCACGAAGTTAAATCACTGTGCTAACAAAGTGGCATAAAATTAATATCTTGTTTTCTTCCTCTTCCCACAGTAGCACAGTCTTGATAGTCTACGATGCTACTACTTCACTGACTTCTTGATTGACAGGTTTCTTTCCAGAAGTAATATCCTATTATCAGATATAACTTGCCCTTTCTAGAACTCAGTGCCTTTCCTGTAAAACAAGTTATAAGTTCTGTATGCAAAAACTGCTACCACGTTCACCACCAACAACGGGGAAAAAAAAAACCAACCTCATAAGGAAGATTGCCTGAATTTGAAATTATTTCTCATTAAAGTAATAGATTGCTACTTTTATCAAGGGGCAATCTTATAAACTCTGGGTTTTATTTCTTTACTAATTCTTGTAGTGTAAATGGCATGAAAGTGTTGTGTTTAGGTGGAAACAAAATTGATGCACGCTTGCAGAAGAGTTTATTGCTTGTTAAAATATGTTGACATGAAACAGATAAAGATAAAGTTAACCATGCAGCTAAAATATCACAAATGCTATAAAGGAAAACTACACAGTATATGACAGGCTTGGGGGAGCTGAGAATATTTTATCCAAAATATGTTGTTTTGTATAAAATTTTGAGGTATGAATATATTATGAAAACTAAAGGATGGAAAGGTTTCACAAACATCTCAAATGGAGGGAAGCATGCACAGGCTCCTGCATGGGAAGATACACCAGTTGATATGGACGGATGCCTACTCAAGTGGAACCGTACCTGTATTATGATTTACAAAAGACCTTGTGTTTGTGGCCAGTTCTGAGTTGTTAGTACAGATATTTGCTTCTTAAGCATATATTCCCTTGAATGTCATTATTATATTGTTGTCTATTTTTCCAAAATGTGATGAGAACATAAACTACCTATCAGTGTTTGATGATTTTTCTTCAGTCAATACCTTGAAACACCCAGGTTGATTTCAGAGTAGTAGAAACCCCTGGAAAATGATCCCTAGATGAGATCCTGGTCCTCAATACAGTGAAAGACCTCAGATGATGAAAATGAGTCCAAGTAGTGATAAAAAAAAAGAAAATACTGAGAAGACACCAAAATTTTATCTTAGGATTTAAAATCACTTCCAGTTAGGATAAAAATGCATCTTCCTGTTAGGTAAATGGAACAATCACAATAAACAAAAGGTGTTCTTCTCAGTGTTCAGAGAATGACTGAGAGCAAATCCCCCTAACATTTGATTGACCTAGGCCCATGTGTTTACTGGGGTAGCATCTTGTAATTAGTTTATCTGGACTATTCAATGGGAAGTGAGGGGAAAAAAATAAACAAAGCAATAAATATTTGGAGAATGAAATGGTCACATCATGTCAGAAATTGGAGACCTGGTGAGCCAGACTGAGTTTCTTCAGCTCCATGTCCTACCAGCAAGGAAAAGAGACTGAATTTAGATTGGTGGATTTTAAGTCAGGACCAAGCTTGAGTCAGTCAGGTGGACCTGCCTGAAAGCTGCTGTTACAGAGAAAAATCGAGTCAAAAAGTAGTGGTTGGGGGAGTCATTGAAACAAACAGTATTTAATTGTGGGGAAACAATAAAGCATGCAACTAAAATTCAGTTATCTGAACGAGCACATAAGACTGAACTTTGCCTCGAGAGGAGAATGTCTAGAATACCATGCTAGAAAAGTATCTACTTTTCTGTGTGTGTGCATGTGTGTGCGTGTGTATGTACATGTGATAATATGCTTGTACATGAAAGGCAGAGGATAAACTTAAGTGTTGCTCCTCCTTAGGCACCATACATCCTGATGTTTGAAACAAGGTTACTCATCGGCCTGAGCCTCCTCAATTAGCAGAGGTAGGTGGTCAATGAACCCAGGCGTCTTTCTATCTCAGTTTATCTGCTCTAGAATTACAAGAGTTCCATGATGCCTGGCTGTTTTATTTGGTCCTGGGAATTGAACTCAGGTCCTCATGACTGCACAGTAAACATTACCAACTATGCCATCTTGTCAGCCCCCAATCAATCTCCCTTTAATATAACAAGTAGCACATTCAGAGCAGAAGGAAAAGAACCGTGAAGAATGCCAATAGACAGCTCTAAGTGGACACCAGGTTTAAGAACAGAATTCATGAAATTTAGAAGAAAAAAATCATTGGAGTTAGTTGAGGAATTGGAGAGGAGGGTACGAGAGGTGTAACTGACCAAAACATGTAATATAAATGAATGAAATGCTCAAACCATAAAAGTAAATAAATAAAAGATTCACAAAAAATATGTCAACTGAGGCTCCCATACTGGTAGACTTTGAATGTCTTCAACAACAGGACATAAATACATAGCTTCATAAAAACACAGTTGCAGCTATAAGCAGAATTCATACTTAATTCACACTTGATGAAGTGTAGAGAAGCTGATGAAACCGTGTGCATCATGTCCCATAGTGTTTTTCTTGTAAGACAGCATAGGGAAATATTTCTTTGGATTCTTACAGTTCACAAAAAATGTGTTCATAAATCAACTCATTTGTTAACCTCCAGGCATACATGCATTTTAAACTGATGTTTTCCTTTTTTGAATTCACTGTTAGAAAGCACACAGTCAAAACTCTGAGCTGTTTTTGGCAATTAATCATTAATCAATGGCATGGCAGGTTTGCTTTCATATTGCACACTATCTCCATGCTGTTATTTTCTCCATTATGGTGTTTTTGTTTTGTTTTACCTTGCTCTAAATTATTTCATAATGCAACATTTTTCATTTTTAGAAGTGAGGGAGGAAAGGGGTTATGAACAAAATATAGTGACAAAATTAGGTAGAAAATACAATGCAAAGAAAAATATTATTTTTGTATATTGTATATTGATTCAGTTTATGTTGACTTGTTTTTTAAGGAAATCAAGTAAAAAGAAAGAACACAAAGTAGAAAAACAAAGACCTCCTAACTACCTCTTCTTTAAATGCCTGAAACAATTGGCAGCGTTTTGCTTCTACAGAGGTTGCAGAGAGGAAGAAAGAGAAGGGGAGGGAGAGGGAGAAGAAAAGGGAGAGAAAGAAAGAAAAAGAGACATGTAAATATAAATATTCATAAATGCAGAATATTAACGTGAGTCATAGTCTGTGTTCTATTCTCCAAATTTTTTTCATTCACATAACAACACATACAGTTTATCACTACAGTTTATCAGACGATCTTTCTTGATTTTTTTTTAATGTAGCAGTCTTTTGTTGCAGGTATAACATCATTTTATTTTAATTGTCCATTGAGAGATAGCTGGGTAATTTTCTGATATTTGCTGGTATGTGCAGTGTTGTGATATAGTACTTCTTTGCTTATGCATTTAATTATATTCTTAAACCAAATTCCCATGCTTAGAATTATTTTGGCAAGGCATTTGTACAAAACATTGATACATGTTGTTTGATTACTCATCAACATTTTCCTAATTTATACCTTACACTAAAACTGTCTTTTTAAAAAAAGATGGGTACTTCTCTATACTTCTAGCTCCTTTGAATTGTTCATCTTTCTATCACTTAAAAAATGATAAATGAAAAAATTACATAACGTGTATTTTCAATTTTACTCCATAGTTAGCCTGATAAAAAATAAATACATATTTATCATCAATATTTCTATTAAAATGATCTTTTTATGTCCTTTGTCCATTTTCCTATGCTTTTCATAATTTTATTATTGATTTTACACATTTTACTACTTTTTTTAAGTATTAGTTTTGTACCATGAGGTAAAACATTTATTTCAATAAGCCAATGAATACCATGCATTAACTTACCATACATACAATGAGTTGGGATGCTACCCTAACCAGCCCCATCAATTTTATATATTCATGAGTCTCATTCTTGCCTTCTTTACATTCCACGAATGCATAGTTTATTCATGAGTTAATACCATACCACCTGAAATACTAGCCCATATGATGTGTTCTAAAATCACATTGGTGACAAAAAAGCTTCTTTTTCAAAATGTTTACTACTCTTATAAATATTTAAATCAAAGTCCAAGTGAAATAATTCCCTAAATATTTATTGAGACTATGTTGGTTTTAAAACCTCTAAAGCCTTTACTGCTTGCAGTATTATACACTTAAAAAAATATATCATTCATGCTGCTTCACTTCAGCTACCCTAATGAGACTCATCACCCATACACATGATGTTCTCACAGTCGTTCCCTTAGTGGATTAAGTCAGTAGCTTAGTTAATGTTAAAGCACAGAATCTTAACTTTCATGTATCCAGGACACGGATTGAGAACATGATGATCATGTCCTTGAACTCTGCCACATCCCAGGGGATTCTCTGAGCCCTCAGATGCAGAGGTGAGGATAGACTCCATTGGCATCTGTCTAAATTAAAGGGGAGGGATTCTTTCAGGGTTATTTTATTCTGATGTAACATTCTCACAAGGTAGACGAAAAGTGCTATCCCTCCTCATAATCACTGTAATTCCCCTCAGCCCTCATATTTTAAATCAAATTATAGGCTGCTTCTCATCAGATAGCACCGGGTACCAGCAGATACGCCAGTATTATGAGGATATCATCAGCCGAGGGCTTTTAAAACTCATGTCTAAATCCTGTATTTGGAAATGGATATGCATCTATTTTTCCAAGAGACAATATTCCTTTCATAACCTCTAAAATGAGCAAAATATCACTGGCTCTGTGCGCTTCATAGATATTATTAAGGAAATCAAATATATCCTGTCTGAGAGAGCTCAAATAAAAAAGACTAGGTCTCATTGTTATTTCCACATTAAAATCTTATCATTTATTGAGTACCCATATAAGCCATACTTTATGTAAAACTTTTAAATGCCCAAAGGAAGAGACAATATTGTCAATGATTAAATTATAGTTGCTAACTACTGAAATATAATATACAAAAGAATATCACCCCCTCTTTTGTAAGAAAGGCTCCAAGGTTGGCAAATATGAATTCAAATGGATCTCCTTTTTTGTTATAATTTTTCAGGTTTTGAAATTATAATATAGTTACATCATTTCCCTTTCCTCTCTTCCACCCTTCCCATGAATCCCCTTTTCTCACTTTCAAATTCAAA